GGAAAGGGTTACCAACCATTGGGGGGGAGGGGCAGGGGGGGGGCCCGGCCGAAGCGGGATCAGACATACCACCATTGTGGAATTAATTAGGTGCCCCAAAGCCATACCAAGGATGGTCTGTTGGAACAGAAATACATAATAGTGCGTAGCATTTATGGACCCTCTGGGTAAGTAGAGTAATTGTGGTTTGAGCATCTACACGATTCGGCATGATGCGTGCAGGTTCACAGCAGGGGCACCGGATAGTGACTGTGGTACTCAGAAGCAGCGTTTATCACCTCTGAGCCACCAAACAGCCACGATGCATCAACTTGCATCTTTGAGGTATACCAAGCAACCCCAGATCTATGCCCGAAATCTGAAACTCTGATCACTCAGCCCAAGATACGCTGAATGCGGGAGGCGAGGCGAGAAGGACACAGGATGCTGGATAAACACGCCCAGCGATCACAAGCATACTGCACCTGAGGTTGATCTCGAACTGTATAAGCTCGTGCCAAGTCGTCCGCTAAACCCAACACCAGCGTCAGCCTTGCAATAAACCCTAAACCCTAATTAAACCCCTAAACCCTGAACCCTGAACCTGCAAGAACCTCAGACAGAACCGAACCGATCTCCACGACGATGCGAGCCTGGCTTCTCGCCTGCGCGGTGTGGCTGCGTGCTGCGGCCGATGGAGAGGCCAGAGCTCCCCAAGACTGGCTTCTTGAGCCACGGTTTAGGGTTTAGGGCTTTAGGGTTTAGGGTTTAGGCTTTTAGGGTTTTAGGGTTTAGGGTTTAGGGTTTTAGGGTTTAGGGTTTAGGGTGGTGGCACTGCTTTTCTGTACCGGCATGAGCACTGGGTAGCTGTACTTACCCGGATACCGGCGCAATCCGAAACCCCGACAGCATAAACCCCAAACCCGTACACCAACACAGCCCGAACCCCTTGCTCATCCCTTAAACCCTGGCCCTAAATCCTGTATACTGTAAACCCTAAACCCCAGCCCTTAGCCTTAAGAACCCTAAACCCTGCCTATAAGCCCTAAACCCTATAAAGCCTAAACCCTAGACCCTAAGCCCTGAAAGCCCTAAACCGTGTACTCCGAAGCACGAGCCTGAGACTTCGAGGTTGTCTTTAGCTTGGGCCCCAGTAATTTAGCATGGACTAACCGCCCGTCCTTATTAAGCGTGATACCGATAATGATAGGGTTTATAGGGTTTAGGGTTTAGGGTGATGGGGATCCTGGTATCAAGGCCCTTACAGCAAAGGGTGTTACGATTAATCAGGACCTCCCGAATCCCGAGTTCTGATCTTTGGGGTCTTGCACCATTCCTCAAGCTTCTCAAAGCCAAAACCTAAACCCTAAACCCTAGGAGATTGTTTGCAGAGATCAACTTAGAACTCGGGCTGAAGGCTTCATACAGAAGACGAGCTTAAAGCGAGGGAGCATCGTCCATTCTCTGCAATTCTGTCTTTGCTCGAAATCCAATCTACATCCAGGTGGGGTCTGTCTTGAAAGATGCTCCGAGGCGATTGCTGCCATGGTGCGGACGGCATTCCTGATCGGAAACAAAACATACAGCAGACATGGCAAGAAAATCTCATGGTGGGAAGATATTCCAGCAGCTTTTCGCGATGTAGATGCCGTATATGAAGTCTTGGAAGAGGGTGGATTTGAGGTCGACGTGCCGTTGAAGGATGCGACGGCTGCAGACTTGCGCGACCTGCCGAGGCGCACGGCAGATAAACTCGGAAACACCCATTCGTCCCTTGCTCTGTGGTTCTACAGTGGCCATGGGGTCACGCATGGTGGACGCTTGTATTTGATACCGTCCGACTTTATGGCGGATTGCTCGATCATGCAGGGCCTAATGCCTTTCGCCTTCGTGTTGGTATTCCTGCTGGGTTTGCTTCGCGGGCAGCTGGGCCTTAACTTTGAAGCCGTAGTTTTAGTTGTTTTGTGTTGCTTCGTGGGATGGGTAGCTGTTGGACGGAGCAGCTGCAGAGCCTTTGTGCAAGGACTCGTATGGCATCCACTGGCCAAAGCTGTTTGCTTTGAAGAGCTTGAGGCCGAGCTTATCAACGTGCATTCGACACACCATGCCTCCTGTGCGACTTTTGTGTTTGTACTGGACTGCTGTAGACTCTCAGCCTACGAGCACTTCACATGGTGGCACCGCTTGCTGCTGTGGTGGAAAGGAGTGGGTGTCGGAAGCCCAACATCTCTGTTCGTTCCATCTTACAAGAGCACACGGCCAAATTTCTTTCAAGTATTTGCCTGCGAGTCTGGACGGGCTGCATTTACAAGTTTGCTTCTGCAGCATGGGTTCTTTGCTGAAGCTTTGGTGAAGACTCTGCGTGGTTGCAGAAGCAACAGGTGCACTTTAGACTACGTTTTTGAGGGCATTTGCCGCCACATGCATGACGTTTATGGTCGAGGCAAGCAAAGAGTCTGTATCAACAGTACCGCATATGCATCTTCGAAGTGCATTTTGTTCCTGGATCCAAGTAAGCCAACATGCCAGTCAGCGCCAACACTCTTAACAAGCATGGCAAAATCCAGGCTTATGCAGTGGAGCGCAAGTGAGTTGGATATCTTCAGGAAACATCGAGCCAGTCAAAGTCTCCGTGGACGAAAGAGACTTGTTAATCATCCGTCTCTTTCGGAGGATGCTCGAGCCATCATGATTCTGCGAGATGTTGCAAGTGAGAGGACAGGCAGCCGGCATCGGTTCTAAAAACTACAGAGTTTGTCAGTGCTATCAGAAGCTATAGTGTGCGACCACGCAACATTCAAAGCCTGCTCTGCATGATAAACCTGACACAAGCAAAGTACTTGTCTGACAAGGCAACCGTCCTTGTCGTAAAGGCAGTTTTCGCCAGCCCTGCAGAACGCACGAGCAGTTTCCAGTCAGTTGATAGAAAGCTAGGGCACGTGGAGCGTTTGGTGGACAAGGTATTGACCGTAGTTGCAGCTTGCCAAATGGAGCTCTACCTTAGACAGCATCGCATACCAACATAACGCAGGGCAACTTCGTGGCCTGGCGGATCTTCGCAATGCGAAGATCCGCCAGGCCACGAAGTTGCCCTGCGTTATGAGGACAGAGGAGGTCTTAGCAGGCCGTCTGGCTGTTCAGATCCTAAGGAAGATGATGATGCTCATAGCACAACCTCAAACCAGGCAGGGCCTCCATCGAGAGATGCAGGAATGCGCATCTCACTTTTGCAATGCATTGCATGCGTATGCAGAAGGATGCTTGCAGTGGGATGCTTCACGAATGGCAGTCATTTGGCACATCTCACTGATGTTCTCTGCACTGCTGGCAGGAGACATTCGTGAGCTTAAATATCAGGTCGACCGCTTCCAGTACTCTCTCTTGGCGTTTGAAGTGCATTGTGTCAGCTATAGACAGACCTGGGTCATCAAGACTGTCTTAAGCTTCCTGCGACTCAGCATTCGTACGCTGTGTCCGGGCTACGTTCTGAGCGCTGCAGGGCGTGTGTACCAACTTGCTCATTGTTCCTAATAGTGGTCCCCTGAGGCGCTCTTGATAATATAGGGGCCTAAAAAAATATACTTTTTTTTTTTTTT